ATAATTTTCTTTACATAATAAGTTTAATGCTAAACTAGGATACTTGGCATATGTTTTAAAATTCTTGATTTTCTCTTCAATAGTATCTAACTTATTATACATACTACGATTTAAATGCCATAATTTATCTAAAACAAATGATTCACAACAATTAGTTAAATTATCTAATAGAGTATTATTTTCATCAGAAATACCAGCAACTATTTCAATTGAATTTCCATATCTATTCCATGTTCCTCCAATAATTGCTTGTTTTTGATCTTTAGGTTCAATATTACTTAATTCTACTATTTCAGTCATTTCATCACAAATATTATTAGGAATACTATTTGGAAAATATGCAGCGTCCATTGATCCATCAGGACGTAACATTATCATATTTGTTTTTCGATTACATTCCTCATGTTCTTCCACATGGTCTCGGTGAATAAACCGAGTACCTCTCCAATTAATACCAATATCTAATTTAATTATTTTTTCAATTCTACAAATTAATTCTTTATCAAATATACTCCTATCTAAATCAATTTCATATAAAAAAAGAGGATCTTTTAATACTTTTAAATCATCATCCACATCCAAATAACAAAAATCATGTTTTTCTATCATTAATAACGGTAGATTAGCATTAATTGTAATATGTAAATCAGTACCATGAACAAAATATTCATTCAAATTACGTCCATTAGCTTGTATTGATGATGAATTATGTTTGATATGAAGAATCATCCTTTTAAATTCATTAAATACTTTTTTGCTATATGGTTCTTTGCATAGGCAAGCAGGTAAATCTCTACATAAATATTTAATTCTATTAGAGAATTTCATGTAAAGAATAACATTTTCTTGGGCTCCTAATTCTTGTCCTCTAGCTATCCACTTTAAATTTTTGGGAAGAGACATTATTGAGTTCCAATCAATAAGAAATACAATATTTGGATTAATCTTTCGTAATTCTAAAACATCTTCAGAAATGTAGATGAACAAGTCGGAAGCTAGTTTCTTTAAAACCAAATCATCATTATTTGGCAAGAATTGTTCTTCATATGTGGCCATTTTTTTAATAAAATTAAATTTGTTTTTTTATTTTTAGATAATAATCATCTAAACATTGCGTGAGAGGCTTTGGTGGGCTTTGGTGGGTGTTATTTGGACTAAATAAGAATGCTGGGTAGGATGGTTTGGATAAAAAAAACCTGTCAACCAAAAGAGTTTTAGTTTTCCAAATCGTTGCTTAGGTGCGGTA